ACGAAATCCTGAACACGGAACTGCACGACGAGCTGCCCGCCTTATATGATTCCAGGATACTGTTTCTGGTCACCAACTTGCAGACGCTCTTCGCCACAGAGCAAGTGTTCCACAACGAAACGGCCAAGGTGGGTTGGGAACTACGAACTCCACAAGTTGCTTTTGCTTATAATATAAGATTTAATCAGTGCATTTAAGGGATTTTAAAACCCCTTTTGAATCCAAACTCATTGTTACTCAAACCAGTGTCAAATGACCGCTACTTTGTATGTAAATATCTACTAATCTCCATCTTTGTGACAACAGATTTATTCGGAACTGGAGGCAATCGTCGACAAATTGGCCACAGAATCGCAGCGCGGCTCCAATACGCTACGCAAGCAAACAAGTAGGGAGTACAGCCGGTAATTGCAAAGCAAGTACTATAACTATAGTTTCTATTTTTGAACAGGCAATCCCATCAAGACATCGAGTCCAGTGCAGTCGCCAGTGAATAAGTTAAACAATGCCAACATCAACAGCAACTATCAGAATCAAATAACTACGAACGGTGGCTCCAGTTTGGCCAACAGCCGTAAGTCCTTTTATACGGTTTATTTTCCGATCTCCATATATATATTTCTTTATATCTCTTACCCGAAAAGCCTAAGTATTTTTTGTTATTTATCGAATCTTATGTTTCTCTGCTTTTTCTTGATTTTCTACGTTTTTTAACGGTCGGTTAAACAAACAAAAAATAATCATTATAAATTGCTCAAAACTGTACAAATAAACTCAATAAACAAACAATCTCATAAAACTCCATTAAAGTTTAAATATATATTTATGATTTAATGTGTTGTATAAAAAGAGCTGAATATAATTCACAACATTTAAAATATTTATACAACTATACATAATATATTTTATATACGCACCATAAAATCTGTATATACTCAATGGAATATTGCTCTATGATGATGACTTCGCTCAAGTTTTTGGCAATTTATAAGAAATTTTTTGATTTATTTTTGGGCAACTAATTTTCCTAACTATTCGTTTTGAATTCTAACCAAAAGTATCCTTGGCATTGCGAAAACATTCCATTTGTAGACAATTTGTTTGTAAATAAAGACGAAATTGTTGGCGGCGGTCTGGCGATCTGGGCTAGCTTTAATCTATTTGTATAAGGGACCTTTTGACTATTGTAACCTTCATATCTATTATTTAACGAATAAAAAGTTGAGATTGGAAGACATTTAAATGAGATATCCCAGGTTGCTATCGACTGGCTGCACGTACAAATGGAATGTTGCATGTTCTTGTTGCTCTTTGAAAGTTCTGATTGAGTTTTTCCTTTGCCCTAACTTGCATGTCCTGAGTTTTATTTCATTTGTTTTTCTCTTTTATTTTATTTAATCTTTTGTTTGGAATGATGCTAACCACAAAACAATACGAAACCAAATTGAATGATGCAACAAAACAAATGCATTCAACAATCAACAACATCACAACGTATAAAACTAAAATAAAACAAAAACCAAAATAAAATACACACGCGAAACGACACAACAATTAGCGACATCCACCAGCTCGTCGCTGCAAGAGCCTCGATTTGATTCAGTTTCTTCAACACCAGAACCACGCCCGGAATCCCCAGCAGCAGCACTACTACCGGCCACGCCCAGCAGTCCCACAGAGAACGGGCTAACCACCAAATCACTGGAGCATCCCGAGCTCAGTGGTCTGAATGCGAGTACCAAGGCAACCACAACCACGCAGACATCGCCCACGGAGGAGAAGGTGGTGGTCAGTGAAGCAGTGAAGCCATCGGAAACTGAGGGATCAGCGGCAGCTGCAGCAACAGCAGCACCACCATCTGCGACACCTGCCACACCAGCAGCGACACCTGTCCAAATCAATGGCAACAACAATGAACCCTCGATTACCAAGGAAGGGGGCAAACAGCCCAAGGAACTCCCATCCACCACATCCAATGCAGAAGCTGCTGCCGAGGCGGCGGCCAACAATGGCAACTCCATCGAGGAGCACAAGCAGAAGAAATTAGGTAATGACACAACAGTCACAGCCACAGAAACAGTAACAGTCACTCAGCACAACCCAGTTACATCAACAGATACAGATAATATAGTAACCATATCAGATACAGATACAGATACTAAGACCAGCACAGGCACTAGTCAGAAAGGTAGACCAGTACCAGTAGTTAATAGGCACAGCGTAAATAATCTTAATAAGAATCCGTTCGAGGATGACGACGAACGCATCTACGAGGTGCCCGCTGGTGAGTAAACCTCAAAAACGAGTCCACTGGGTGTCAAAGCTCGCTTCCTATGTCTCTCACTCTGTAGTATTTTCCACACTATCTCTTCACATCCTCCGAAGGAACACGTCTAATTTTCTGTAATCTAAGCTTCAGTTCCTGTGTGTGATTGTTGTCTAAAACGAATTGAGGATTTTTGTATTGGTATTGTATTGTAAATCGATTGTGTGGCATGCTGCGTGGGGCATCCACAATGGCAGGATCTCAAACTCATTTCCTGGGCAGTGCACCTATCTTCGTTTTTCATTTAGTACCTATAGTATGGACTAATGTTGTCTTAATTCGGGACGCCAACACGTAGGTTATCGTACAACAATCTATATAATAATCACCCACAAACCCAACATTGCTTGCACGTTCGCTGCTTCAGTCGTTTATCCGTTGGTTTTTGCCCAACTAGCTCACCCCCACCCGACAACAAACTAACAGCCCACAAATGTAAACGCCTGAGAAAGTGCTAAACTCACTAACCCTTTTTGGCCAGGATTGCGTTTCCGTTGTTCTTTGCGTGCCTTTGTCTACTAAACTCGGTTATGCAACTTTCGATGTACACTGTGTGACGTACGAATCTTTGAGGGTTTCGGTGTCCAGACCTTGCCATAATAGATCTTAAATGGAAAACCATTTATTTCTCTGAACAGATGCCAACACCGCTGACTTGCCGGCCGGAGTTCTTTACCGGGTGAAGGCCACCTATGGCTACGCCAAGGAGGATGTGGATGAACTAAGCTTCGAGATCGGTGACCTTATTCGCGTTATTGAGTACGACGATCCCGAGGATCAGGTAAAGTCTTCTGACCAAAACTATTTGCCCTTGCAGATTTATTTAATAGTAATGCAGTTTATTTAAGCATATTTTGATTGCTATTAAGCAAACTAAGCTACCATTATTTGCAAGGGCATAACTTCGGAATCCGAAGGTACACATATCCTCGAGCTTTGCACGCGCTAGTTCCCCCCTCCGCGCCAAATGCAGATCTCCGCACTTCCTGTCTATATTGAGTTCAGTTTTTTATTGCCAACTTACAGGAGGAGGGCTGGCTGATGGGACAGAAAGAGGGCACCAACGAGAAGGGACTCTTCCCCGCCAATTTCACGCGTCCCATCTGAAGTGACCAACTGGGGAGCAACTGGGCTAGCAACGAACCATCAGCAGCTTCAGATAAACCATAAAAATCTTAACGAACGGAGGTCCAAAATCCAATACAAACTTTCGGCCAAATTTTCTTTGTGAGCGCTGCTTTTGTTTTTGTCCAATTAATAAATTCTTGTTTTGTGAAATGTATTCGGTAACTGGCAATCCATTTAGAGCGATTGTTCGGGCAGTGCTTCCAACCATAAATTGTTATTGTTAACGAGAACCTCACAACACAACAAAAAGAAGAACACGCAGATGAGGAGACGAGAGAGAGAATATTTTGAAAATGTTTCAAACATTATTTTTTAGTTCTAAGTTTCAACAAAACCTAAAGCATAAACCTACGTATACATATATTATTTGTTAATCCTATTATTGTGCTCATAATTAATGCGAACAAAACGTATCTAATTTGTAATTTGTTAAAGGCAAATCACAAATGTAAAACATATCACTCGAGAGCCAGAGTAATTGTTAAACAAATCAAAAGTCGGAGGAGATAGCCTAAATCTTTTGTATTTTGTGAATTTTGCAAATATGTAGTACGAGTTTTTTATAGTCAATTGAATGTATTTTCTGGGGCGATGCAAAAAGGCCAGATGTAATTCCTCTGTGGTCCCCTAAGTTTTGGAAATTGTTTGAAGTAACAACATTAACGTTTAGCGATTATGTGTATCTTAATTTTTACTTTGGTTTTTAATTTTCGTTTGAGAGACTCGAACTAGCTACAGCTTTATAACGCGAACACAATCCAATAGTCACTAACCGATCGATTCGATGTTTTTATTTTATTTAACTCTATTGTAAATCACACGAAACCCGAAATAATTGTTTAAATTGTGCACACACTGTAAAGTTATTATTTTAATTTTATTTAATTAATTTAAACACTTATTTATCGCATGAACATATTGAACAAATGATAATAATTTACAGAAAGCCAATAAAACATAGATTAAATAATATAAGCTGTTTGATTTGGCGGGCAATGCCATCTGATTGTAGAATTACTAGATTTATGAATACCCAACTTTTACCCTTCATTCATATATTAATTTTTTTATTTTATGGGAATATTACAGTGACAACAAGTTTTGAATAACCTATTTTTCTAACAACAAAATTTACGAACATAGCTATAGGTTCGGGCCACAGCTTGACGAATATGGTTTATGTATTCGCTTTCATGCTCTGAAAAGGTCACCCTAGTTAATATTTTTTAAAGCTGTAGGTCGCTGTCATCCGGATTTAGGATATCGGGCGCTGCCACCATATATGTTTATAATATCCGGTGCTGCCACCCCAATTCCTGCTTCCTGGCAGCTCCCGGCTTGTGTGGGATTGGGATGGCAACTCAAAAATATCGAAAGTACTTTATTTTTAAATTGAGCTGTAGGGCAGGGAAATCGCTTTTTATCTATTAGAAATTTGAATAAAATGTTTTGCTGCAATTAAGAAGTCTTCTTTAAGTAATGCGACGAAGGTTATGATTTAAAGGCATCGATTGCAACATCGATGTCTTGCCAGCACTAGTTCAAAGGCCACCCGATAGGTTCCGCCATCGATATCGAAGAACGATAGTCCCGATAGGTTCGGACAAATAACGCCTCCTGCTATCGAAAGTCGGGTCGTGCGTCAACGTTAGCGAAAAATGCAAAATTAAATATGTTGTGAGTAGCGAGCGATGCCAAATCGAATATGTTGTGAGTTTCGAGCAAGTTACCCGTCAAACGGACTACCCGCCAGCCAGGGGTCGCCATCCGCGGCCGCCTGGCAGCCACCCGAAAAAGTCCCCCCCCTCGACAAAAAAAATTTTAGCAGCACCGAAAACGTTCTCCGAAATGCCAGTGTAAAGTGTGTTTTTTCGGCAAACGGTGCTGGCCATTAGGCAAGGCCCCCCATAATTGTTTAACAAACGGGGAATCGAATCGCGAAATCTTCGAATCGCATTGCTATCAAAATTTTTTCGTTTCGTTAACGCCCTCGCTTATATTTGTGTGTATTCGTTCGTAAAGCAGTGCGCAGCAAGTCGCACTGCTTGCCCGAGGAAAACACTACGAATAGGAAAAAAAGTTGCGAAATTTAAAAAAGCCATAGTTTGTTTAACTTAATGTGGTTTCTTTTGCCACTAAACGGTGCGGCTAAACGAAAATATTGTTGGGGTCGTGGAAATACCTGATGGATTGTGCATATTTTTGGGGTTAAATCGGGTGGGCCAACCAAAAAAAGGCAAAAAAAAAAAGGGAGCTGGGGGTCGTGTGTGTTTACCTTAGCCAGTATGATGATGATTTTCCGGAATGCATATTCCTACCTTACCACCACCCATGCCACCCCCTATCGTTCTTTTCCTTATCTCTCTGTCTCTCTTCTTTACTTGCAGTTCCACTGCATACAGAAAAATAAACAAATACAAGAAGCATAAAATATGCAGAAAATTAAATACAAAAGGAGCCACTAAGTGTTTCGTGTGAAATCAATTTGAAGACCGCTCGTCGTCGTCGTCGCCGTCGCCGTACATACTTTTCCGTTTCAATTACACTACAATGAATATTTGTTGAAACTTCGTTGCATTTACAGACTGGTGTTTGAAAACAACAACAAGCAGAAACGTTAAAAACCAACAACAGCCCTCATACACACCGAAAACTAGAAGCAAAAGGGGAAAACTACATATATATATATATATATATATATACATATATATGGATATGTATCTACATATATAAATAGTATCACATTTACATTAAAAGGAAGCCGAACAGACGTTATCGTAACTTTTATATTACAAAGCACCAGTAAAAATATATAACCAACTACACACGTTCCTTAAAAACAAATGTTTTCCAAACCGCAAACCAACTAAAAACGAAATGCTTTTGAAATAAGTTTAAGCTAACTAAAAAACGTATGACCAACCAACGCACCGCAACGCAAAGCAAATCGCGTGATTAAACTAAAAATAATAAAAAAAAACAGACCGAACATCGGCAGGGAACCAAAACAAATATAAAACACTATCAATCCGGAAGAACTAAAATCGGAGTATTAAAACCCGAAATTCAATATTTTTTCTATAACATAGTGGTAGCTAAAACAAATCGAGACGATAACCGGAACATCTTTTTGGAGAATCTCGTCTGAATACCTTTAGTCCCGTGTCTCCGTAATGTTGTTAAGTAAGTAATTCTGAAATGAATACAAGAATCGTAATTTCCTGGTTTTATTTCCGACTCGACCACTTGTTGGTTGCCACCAAAAACTGCCCAAAAATATTATAATCCAAATCAAGGAACTAGTCAAATTGGCAAGCTTATCCTCCACATCATTCGAATTTTTTTATTTTGTGTAAGAGCCATCCTTTCGTAACTGCAAGATCACATAAAAATGCTGTAATTTATAATGAAAGGGTACTTTTGTATCTGAAATATAAGCTCATAAATACTCCAGCGAAAATAGGGTGAGGATGCGATAAGGAACTGCATGAGTAACATGTACATATGTAGGTATTTCCGATCGAGAATCGGTTTGCGGAAATGGCTTGCGTTAGAAAGGAGATTTTCAGAAGAGCAGTAGTCGTCTAAAGATTAAGAAGGCATATCAAACGTTATCTCTGAGTGGTTTATCATAAGCATATACAATATGTAAGGCAGATAAGACCAGTTCGCGGTGGCTAACTCTACCGCAGATGTTGTGGCATGATATATCTTGCAAACTATTGCTAAAAAACGCTTCATTGCGCCAATTGCGTGCCCCTGCCCCTGAATTTTGCTGCCACTGCTAATTAGATTTTGTGGCTTTTTGCTCAGTGAGCAATGTGTTCCGAGTGCAGCCCACTAATCCTCCCAAATTCTATGCGGCTAGCCGTGAATATCCAAATCTCAATATTCTCTTGGCCACTTGGGCCCGCCAAATTCCCCTGTTCAGACTATTGTCAAAATTATTGTTAGGTATTCCATCGATATTTGGTAGTGGTCATGCTGAAAGCCTTACCTCGACCCATGTCAATGTGTTCGCCAAACGAAATTGGATTAGCCATCCCACGATATATAAACTGGGGGTTGGGAAAGAGAGGAAATAGCACCAGTGGTTATAGGCTATATTCTATAGGCATGCCCTATGCTGAACCCATGAATGAACTAAGGATTTGGGTGGACTAACATCTTTAAAAGATAAGCTAAAAATTAGAATTGGTTGTAAAATATATACAAATAACGACATTCCTGGTATTATGGTCTTTTCGCACTATATTGTAATTACAAGAATCATCTCAAAATTCGACTTAATGATCTTAAGTCATAACTTGTTTAATTGCATTTTAAGTTTCTCTTGGTTGCTTATTACATTTGAAGTAGAATTGTAGACCAATTCTTCATATCCATAGACCCATAGACATTGGGTGGTTGGTTCACCCAATTGGAGAACACTCTCGCGAAGCCATATATTTTCCAAAATCAGCTTTCTTGCATTGAACTTGGCGGAGGGGCATTGGGCGAACGCTTCCTCAATCTATAGCCACCTGGTAGAGGGCGATCCCAGGTCTGCGCAGAGAGAGCAGGCCCAGTACCTAGAACCAAAGCCAATGCCATGGTCAGAGGAAGTCTAGGGGTAGTCATGGGTAGCCATGGGCCATCTATATCCGACGTCGTCATCGACGTCGCCAGCTAGTGGGGCAAGTTAGCAAATATGAAATGTTAATTGCCAGCACGGGACACAACGCGGCGAACTCTCGTTGGGCCAACAACTGTGGTGGTCGTCCGTAAGAGCCATAGTTGCATAGATCCTACAGTTTGGTTATGCAAGTACTAAATCAAAGCTTTGTCTACTTGCAGATGTTCTTGGATCGTTCGATGTGGTCTTTGTTCATTAGTAACCATCACTCTCAGCCTCCGAGTAACCGAAATCTGGTCAAGAACTTAGCGTAGACCCGTAATTAGCAATAGCAATAGCCAAAGAGCCTGGATCGTAAGCGCGCTGGAGGAGGTCTGCAGAGCGAGCAAAGCCGAAGTACAAATGCACCAATCGAAACTGAAACAGAATCTGTAACTTGGAACGGGTGAATTCAGCGCACGCCACACAACCAATTAGCTAGGTGTCAGAGGGTCCAGAGAAGGGAGTCCAGGAGACCATCCCACCAATCCAAACAGCATACATTTTATATACGGAACGGCCCGGCCTGTCGAGCGTAGTGGCAGCAGCACGCGAAAGCGTCTATAAATCTAGTTAGCATGGAGTGCTGTTTATCGGAGGAGGCCAAGGAACAAAAGCGCATCAATCAGGAAATCGAGAAGCAGTTGCGCCGAGACAAGAGAGATGCGCGCCGCGAGCTTAAACTGCTACTACTGGGTAAGTGGAGCGTGGCCCATTTTGATTGCACTTAGCCTGGCTTAATGCAATTGAAGCCGCCTCGCTAATTGCATTGTATGCCCGGCGCTTATGGCTATATATTGTTCAATCCTTTAACCCCAGGCACTGGCGAGTCCGGGAAGTCCACATTCATCAAACAGATGCGTATTATCCACGGCAGCGGTTACTCGGACGAGGACAAGCGTGGGTACATCAAGCTGGTTTTTCAGAACATATTCATGGCCATGCAGTCAATGATCAAGGCCATGGATATGCTGAAGATTTCCTATGGTCAGGGAGAACATAGTGTAAGTGAATCACGGACCTCATAAAAGACACTTAATCTGAAACGACAAACGAAATCCTAAAATCCACAGGAAATGGCCGATCTGGTTATGAGCATCGATTACGAGACCGTTACCACGTTCGAGGATCCATACTTGAATGCCATCAAAACGCTTTGGGACGATGCTGGCATCCAGGAGTGCTATGATCGTCGTAGGGAATATCAGCTGACTGATTCAGCCAAATAGTAAGTTACCCGTTGGCAGGCAAAGGGAAGGGATTAAGTCCTTTCGCAAAATGACCCAAAAACGAACTGATGAGACTGAAACTACTGAAACGAAAATGCAAACTAAATCAATGGTCTTGTTTATGTATAGTTATCTGAAGGATCTCGATCGTGTGGCTCAACCTGCATATTTACCCACTGAGCAAGACATTTTAAGAGTTCGTGTGCCGACAACAGGGATAATTGAGTATCCCTTTGATTTAGAAGAAATCAGATTTAGGTACTACCATCTTTCTCATCTTACTTCATTGCATGTGCATTACCTCTTTTTTGGTTATGGTTCAAATATATTTTTACTTTGTATCTAAATACTTAAGAATACCTTTAGCGCATGTCTTTCAAAGCATATAATTTTGGGACCTAGTTAGGGCCTTTAGCGAAGTTGGTGGACCGAGACGGGTTGCAAATCTACTTTTGCCATTTCTGTTTGTTCCGTTTTTTGTTTTAAAAGTGTACTAATTTATCTAATTTAGCTACTTGAGCGATCTGGCTCGAATTGAACAGGCTGATTACTTGCCAACTGAGCAGGATATTCTGCGTGCTCGTGTGCCGACAACTGGCATTCTTGAGTATCCATTCGATTTGGATGGCATTGTGTTTAGGTATATATTCAAGATATGAATTGGTAATTCGACAAGGCTAGAAATGTAAATGGTTATTGTACAGCTAGTGAGAGACGATGTCTTAGATTTTAGTTACTAATAGATTCGTGGCTTGCGCTCTAGAATTAAATGCTTGTATGTTTGGCTTTAAATGTAGTAAATTTGTGTGTTAACTGTTTTACAATAATGTATTTTCCCTAATAAACAGAATGGTGGACGTCGGAGGTCAGCGATCCGAGAGAAGAAAGTGGATTCATTGCTTTGAGAATGTGACATCAATTATATTTTTGGTAGCGCTATCGGAGTACGATCAAATCTTGTTTGAATCTGATAATGAGGTATGATTTCAAGTTGAAAATATATATTTTACATTTAATAATTAAATATACGCTTTCACAGAATCGAATGGAGGAATCTAAAGCTTTATTTCGTACTATAATTACATACCCTTGGTTTCAAAATTCGTCAGTTATTCTTTTCCTGAATAAGAAGGACTTGTTGGAAGAGAAAATAATGTATTCGCATTTGGTAGACTATTTTCCCGAATACGATGGTAAGTGTTCCGAATGGTATTTGGTGGCCATAATTATGTACGATTTTATGCGGCAATGAACCAGGTCCAAAACAGGATCACGCTGCGGCCAAACAGTTCGTTCTGAAAAAGTACTTGGCCTGCAATCCAGATCCCGAACGTCAATGCTATTCGCATTTCACAACGGCCACAGGTGGACTTTCACCTTACATTCACCTTATGTACCTAAGACCTATGCAAATGCCTCAAATCGCCAATATCATCTGTAGATTATTTTTGCTAGTTTTTGTAGAACCACGCTAGACGTAACCTCTGATTTGCCTTCTTATCGAAACAGGTCCTCAGCGAGATGCAATAACGGCCCGAGAGTTTATACTGCGAATGTTTGTAGATTTAAATCCAGATTCCGAAAAAATTATCTATTCTCATTTCACGTGTGCTACAGGTAAGTTTTCGAGCTCGGTGTTTGGTCAGAAAATGCGTGTGGATGTGATTTTAGTTTTCAGCCTAATGGGACTTGCCTAAAAGGTAAACTTTTGTGTGAAAAACATTTACATTTGCATTTGCTTTTGCCGCTGATCTAGAGTAGAGAGTAGAGTATCGCTAATCAAATTTGTTAACGAACTGATTTCTAATAAAACAACGATCTCTTGGTAAACAGATACTGAAAACATCAAACTTGTGTTCTGCGCTGTCAAAGATACAATTATGCAAAATGCACTTAAGGAATTCAATTTGGGCTAATGCGGGCAGTGCGGATTTCAGGAAAAGTGGCAATGCAAATGAATTATTTAATTATAATGTATATGATTTGTTTTTCAAAGTCCATCAATAAAAATTCAATATAGTCTGTTATCCGTTAAATCTGTTAAATATCGTGAATGGAGTATGTGTGCAGTGTACTATCATACGATTTCTTGACTAAATCAACTAACTACGCCTTCTTTTCTTTGTCTAGATACGGAAAATATAAGGTTTGTGTTTGCAGCTGTTAAGGACACAATTCTGCAATCGAACCTTAAGGAATATAATTTGGTCTAAACTGGATTTGGATCGAAAAACTATTTTTGTGATTTTTATACAAACACACATACACATTCATATAATTCCTTTTTCGCATATTTACTAAATATAAAAGAAGAATTGAGAAGCGAGCGAATGTGGCCGAAAATTAGGCATAAATTAGACCCGAAAAAAGTTTCTTACGTTTGTTACATCAGGAACCGAAAATTGTAGCATAAATAGAATACGAAAACTGATATGGTAAACCCGCATCAACAGAATGATGGAAAAGATGTATACATTTTAATTTGAGAGAAAAATAACACAAAATCTGATACAGTGTGACAACAAATAATCAGGGCAAAGTTTCTCGCTTTACCTTACGAATATGGCGATTCGTAAAACAATAATTTATATTGGAATATTTGTATTCTTTTCAACTGCAACGTTTTCAGAAAACGTTGTGTGATTTTATTAGCGTTTCGAAAAGGAAAACCCTTGAAAGTCAAAAAGACAGTAGCCAGAAATGATTGGGAACCAACCGATATAGTTTTTGGTTAGATTTGAATAAATCGCCAGTTTATTTCGGATTCAAGCCTGGAAGACTGATGGGAGTTTTTCCTTCCTACACAAGAAACTTGATTTACTTGAAAAGTTTTTATACAAAATATCGTCCGAATTAGTTGTTGTCACGCTGTAATATTTAAATAAATTTATTACTATAGTAACTTTTGTAATAAAATCCGAAACACAAAATATGAAACGTAAATTTAATCAAAAGCTTGATAAGGAACTACAAACTGAAACAACTTTGTCGTACTGAAGCATAACATAATAATAAAGCAACATTTTACTAAATAACTACAGAAAAAAACAACCATACTTTTGCGTAAAAATCCCCCGAAATATATATATTCAAAGAATTATATATGCAAGAAGTTTCTTATTAGAATTTCAGGGCATATAGGCGTGTAAAAATAATAAACCGAAAATGATAAGCTGATAAAATGAATGAAAACGAAATCACAGATAATAGCGTATTTTTTATTAAGCTAAACCGTAAACCGTAAACCGTAAATATTGATACTATTGTTTACCGGAATATTTAACTATACATGAAAGCAGATATAATAATTCATAAACGCATATGTAACAATTTAAAAATTGATTAATTTGCATTGCGGGAGCTCCATTCATTGTAAATTACGATTCGTATTAATACCATGAGAAAAAGAAATGAAAAGCATGCAAACCAATACAAACGATATAGGATATAAATTTGTATGAGAAACGCCAGAAACATTTACATGGAGCATTCATTAAATACGTGTTTGTAAAAATGTCGATAACCACCCATGCAACATGCAACAGCAAAATCAATACAACATATTGATATTTAATCAGACATCAGGTTAAATCCAATCAAATGCGATATACCAATACTGGTCGAGAAACACAACTATCAGAAAAGAAAGTTTTGCTCTCACGTACTTTTGTTGCCATCAAAATTTCAGTCGAAACATTGTTATCAAAAATAGCTTGATTTTCGTACTTTTTACATTAACTTTGTTAGTTGTTTGCTTATTTTATAGATCTTAATGTATGCAACAAGGGACTCGCTTAGCGGCTATCCCCAATCGGCGATGTCAGCCAAGTGGGTCCAGTGTTTTGTTTTTGTTTTTATAATTTTAGTTTAATTTAATATACAAGGATAACTAAATGAGACGCACATAAATAGAAAACCCCATCAACAAATTATTTATGTAAAAATCCAAATAAAAACAATTCTACTCTACGCATATGTGGAAACAAAAAATAAATAAAATGGAAAACAATTGAAACGTACATGTATGTAAAATAAATATGAAGCAAAATGTTTTTCATAATTTACTATTACACTTATTTTGTTTTAACCGAGATTCCCTCAACTCATCACTTGGAGTTTAGTTCACTCGGGGCCACAGAAGAATAGATACTTTGCCATGGCAGTGGAGATTTGAGAATCCTATGACCGCGAATAACCAAAAACCAAGGAGCATCTTAGTTTAAGTACGATTCAACAGTGTGTTGTATAAAGCTTTAATCCTCGTAACCACATCTAGTGAAAGTGAAAGTAAAAGTAAAGTAATTAAACCATTTTTATGATTAACCAATGGATTAGCTTTTAAAAAGCTTCAATAAGTCAATGTGTATTTTAAATAATGAAGCAGAGAGCACAGAGCCAATGAGTTTTGAGCATGCATGCCCGATTGGAATGGATATGGATATGGAATCGGTTTAGGTTCTTGATGCGAATACAAATTCACAGCTGGCATCCAATTTGGTAGCTCCAAAATCGATCTTTGGCCTGGCCCGTTTTTTATATCCACGGCATTATAGACATTCACACACTGACATATATATAGTTTTCCGTCCAATGAATTGCATCGGCATCGGCGAGCAGACAAAGTCTCCCATTTACTTTGATCCTTTCGTTCCGGTTTGGTTCTTCTGAAAATTCCATCCCAAGATACACGAGTTTTTCGGCGGTTTCAATGATAAAAATGTTCCGGATTTTGCAGCCACACACATACGCACACTTTAAATTGGTCGATTTCGGTATGATTTCCCTAGAATTTTGTGCCTTTCCACTAAAATGATTCCCATAAATTATATAGGACAGACTTCAGTGGGTACTCAAAACTTGATTCTCTTTTTGTTTTACCACTACTGGAGCCTGTTAAATACCCCAAAATATTCAGATTATCAGCATGCGTGTATTGCCAGTTTGTTGTGCTTTGGGTTGATAGATTGGTTCCTTAGTTTTATGATACGCACCGATAGTCAGACAGTTGTATGTAAATATTTGGGAAATTACTCGCGGGGGAATTCGAAAGCCTCCTGAGATATACCACATAATCGAGCATGTGTATGTAAGTGTACATTAAACTCAAAGTGAACTATAATAATAAAATGAGAATTTGATATAAACCATTAATGTATGTATTTTGTATTTTTATATACAATTTATAATTTTGATTACACTTACAATTGTTACGATTAATAACTAAAATTACATGATAAAACCGAAGTAACGCAGAAGAATCTACTAGATATGTATTTCCAATATAGAGAAGCCGAATACATAATACACAAATCCGACGATTGCTAAAGGAATTTCAGAATATTGTAAGGAATTAAGATTAAAAAAAGTAAACAAAGAAATTTTCTAAGCAACAAACTCAAACAGAACTGCAAGCAAAAGGGACAACAATTTAAATGGGAAATTTATGTAATTGTGTAAATCTAGAGCGGAATGATAGCGAAGGATGCAATTTGATCCTTTGGGCCTGATACTCGATAAGTATGGCCACAATTTTCAGACAATTGAAAACCATTTAGGCATGGCATTCGGTGGCTAGTTTTTACTTTAACTATGTATGTAAATGAAAGAATGACCACATTCCACAAAAGAAAGCTTGAAAAGCAAAAAAAAAAAAAAGAAAACAAAACAAAAAAAAAAACAATTAAAAAGAATCCCAAATGAAAATCGCCCTTGACGTTAAAGAAAACTACATTATCGATAATAAGAATGGCTAGCCGATGTTTTCGGTGTAAGCACACCTATAAACCCTATAAACTCAGCATCGGGCTAAGCAGTAAGAAATATTAGTTGTGAGTTCGGGCGACTTTAGGGAGAAATAGTAATATTCGAGTCTAGTTTCTCCATCGCACACCTAAGCATACGAGTATACATACGTGTAAATCAGAAGCTAATGAAACATCCACTGGAACTGCATGCTTAGCCTAGGATTAAGGCAATCCCGAACAGAATCCCCGATTTGGAGACAGAGACAGTCCAACATGTCCATGGGCCGACTATTGATAACTGTAGCATTTGAATTGATTAAATTGATATTGATATTGGACGGACGGGGTTTTCCTGGGTGTCTATACATTTGTCATACAAATCATATTGACGAAGCAAACGGCGATTGTATGCGTGGCAATTGTAACTAAACAAATTTTTTAGATAATTAAAAGTATCTATGTACACCTTAATATTAATGAAAAAACCAATATAATATAAATAAAAGTATATTGAAAAGACCTCCTACTGTGTTCTGCTTATGTGACTGACTACGATATGCGATCCTCTAACTCCTGGAAAACGGAATCCTTAAATTACGGGTTTCGATTCAAAAGGAACTTATCAGTAGGGCTGGATTAAATAATGGATTCTGATGTGATTTATCAAGAGATTTCAAATTTAGAATTTAAGGAGCTTTTGTAATTTTGTTCCCAAAATGGTTTGCAAATCAGTGTTCGGCATTTTTCGACAGCGTACGGACGTGTTTTTAGGCGTCGGAAAAAAGTGAAAAATCTGGTTAAATAAAATATACAAAAACCAGGAGTAAGGCGATACGCATCTTACATCACAATCTTTGGCTAGACGGTAAACTGGTCCAGTAGGAGTCAGAAAAGATACATTTAAGTTCGGATACTGGTAAAACGCGCCTTGAGATAAATATAGCAAGCGTTCAATTATAAAGTCAGCATAGATATGCACTGCTGTTTTTCCACGGAGGCAAGGGAAAAAAGGCGTATCAATAAGGAAATTGACAAACAGTTGAGCCTGGAGATGAAGGGGTATAAACGTGAGCTTGCTGTTGGGTACGTTGAACGGGGAATTGTAATATATCCAGGATCAAATGTGTGTATATCCTCAGGGGCGGGCGATTCCGGAAAGTCCACATTCATCAAACAGATGCGTATTATCCACGGCAGCGGTTACTCAGAGAGGACAAGCGTGGGTACATCAAGCTGGTTTTTCAGAACATATTCATGGCCATGCAGTCAATGATCAAGGCCATGGATATGCTGAAGATTTCCTATGGTCAGGGAGAACATAGTGTAAGTGAATCACGGACCTCATAAAAGTCACTTAATCTGAAACGGCAAACGAAATCCTAAAATCCACAGGAAATGGCCGATCTGGTTATGAGCATCGATTACGAGACCGTTACCACGTTCGAGGATCCATACTTGAATGCCATCAAAACGCTTTGGGACGATGCTGGCATCCATGCTCGTCGTAGGGAATTTCCGCTGCCTGATAGTGAACAACTGGATAGTGAATTGTGAGTCCATGGGCGACCACAACCATTCTTTATTTTTAGATACTGAAAATATTAGCTTTGTGTTCGCTGCAGTTAAGGATACCATTTTGCACTGCAATTTAAAGGAAAGTAATTTGTTCTAATTCTGGATTTTGATCCGCCGCTGTACTTTTACAAGTAGATTTTTCAAATAAATGTTTATTTTGGTATTAACCATTTAAGTATTTGACATCCGTATTATACAATAAATTTTTTAATATTGTATTGCTTTTTGGGCATTTACAGTTTTGGGTGTTTGTGGGTTAATAAAAAAACATTGTGTGTTCTGAGAGCTCTTATTGTGATTAAAAATTAAGTAATTCTACATTAAAGAGGTTTCCACTGTATAAAGCAGTGGAGTCAGTATAAGAGAATTCGAAAATGTTACAAATTCTCTTAGAAACTGCTTTTAGTGATTTGAGTAGGGCGGATTAAGTAAGCTCAGTGCTCGATCATTTTCAACAACATGCGGTTTATTTTTAACCGATCGCCGCCCAATTAGTCTTAGAGAAACCATCAACACAGAACATATATTCCAAATATTATGTATAAAATATAAACCTAAAAACATAAAAAAGTTAACACATATATCTTGCATAACTGTAAATAAGCGAATTCAATATTACTTCAAAAATAATATTAAAAAAAAAAATTGTGACTAAGTCTCAGTACATCATTTCATCACTTGAAAAACTAGCCTATAAAAAAACAAATAGGAAAACGCCCTACAAACAAAAAATTAAATCGGTAAATCAGTGAAATAAATTTCTCATCTGAAGTAATAAATAGGAAGAAAAACTTTGCAAAACACGTAAGTCACTTATTATATAAAGATTTATTACTTATTTTATCCGAAACTAATGTGTATATATGTATATACATACGTATATGAATGAATCATTTCAGTCGACCGGATTAAAAATGTTATATACACAATTTAGGTATAAAACATTTTACAGTTCAAAATTTGGGTTTCGGCATAAATTTTGTAATTGAAACTCGATAAGATGTTTATTTTAGTCATCAGTAACATTTGTTTTTTATTAACAGCGCAGATAATATTATTCGGATAGCTCGCCTGACAAGAAGTATTATAAATGATCTTGTTCCCGGACAGAAAGCGAGACGACATAGCAGCTACAGTAGTTGAAAATCGTTTCAGATGAAGTAATCGTCTCAGATATGTGCTCATGAGCAGCCGATTTAAAACTTTCGGAGTCGTCATAAGAGTGAACACATGTGTCACTGGAATCTGCATGCTAGATTCGGTACCAGTGAACCTTCGAGCTCTATAGATCTCGAAATACGCCACAGGGTACGAAACTCTTCCTTCTATGTGCTACTTTCTTTCGACGAATCAAGTATACACTTTCACTCTGCCAACCTATTGACAGCCCAATAAATAAAGTTTTGTCAGCCTCTAAATAGTCGTCATCTAGTCAAGAAAGAGAGTCCCCTGGGGGAAGTAGGCCTGCTGGAATGGAGTGCCTGGAATGCTGCTTATCGGAACAGGCTCGTGAAGAGAGGCGTATCAGTAGGGAAATTGATAAGGTCCTGAGAGCGGATAAGAAAAAAGCACGGCGCGAGCTTAAAGTGCTGGTCCTGGGTAAGCGAAATCGGAGCATAAAATCATTACACAAAATTACACTTCCCAATTGATTTCATGACCCATATACGCGGATCCACAATCGCAGGCACAGGCGAATCTGGCAAGACCACATTCATCAAACAAATGCGCATTATTCACGGCAACGGTTTTTTGGAAAAGGAACGGAAGCATTTCACCAAAAATGTTTTCCAAAACTTATTCATGGCCATGCAGTCCATGATCAATGCAATGGATGTTCTGAAGATTCCCTACGGTCAGCAGGAGCATAGTGTAAGTGTAACTCCTAGCCCAATACCAAGTCATTTGTCTCCAACGACCACGTATGCTCCACAGAAACTTGCCGATCTGGTGAAGAGCATCGATTACAAGACAGTTACCAGGCTGGACGCCCCATACACAAAGGCCATCAAAACGCTTTGGAACGATGCTGGCATCCAGGAGTGCTACAGTCGCCGTAGGGAATACCAGCTGACTGATTCAACTGAATAGTGAGTTAGCCGTTGATATACTTCGTAATATCTGAAGCATACATCAATTATGCTGCACATAGGAGCATTTATTGTCTGGTTATTTAACATGAAACAGAGATTTCATACATGTTGATATATAATTGGATCTATGCCTTGGAAATCATATCTTTAAAAACAAAAGCTAAGTCGTTTCGTTCTTCCAAATAGCTTTATGAAAAACTTAGCTCGAATTGAAAAGACTGATTACCAGGCATCGGATCAGGATATTCTTCATGCTCGTGCGCCAACAACCAATATTGTTGAGTATCCATTCAAGTTGGACCGTTTTTTAATAAGGTATTTGTTTAAAATATAGTGAAATGAATAACTTCAATACTACTATTAATACTACAATTAAATACTACTATACAGATTAGTGGACGTCGCTGGTCAACGAACCGAGAGAAGAAAGTGGATTCATTGTTTTTCCAATGTGACATCAATTATGTTTTTGGTTGCTCTATCCGAATTTGATTTGTCTTTGGCTGAATCGGAGAATGATGTATTTCTTTAAAATTTCATATTTGGATATGAATAATCATATGGTTTTTTTTTTCAGAACCGGATGGAGGAATCTAAAGCTTTGTTTCGCAATATAATTTCGTTTCCATGGTTTCAAAAATCATCATTAATTTTGTTTCTGAACAAGGAGGATTTATTTGAGGAGAAAATATTAACAACGGATTTGGCAGACTATTTTCCCAAGTACACTGGTAAGTGGTCTTTAAAACCAACATTATATATATTATAATTTTCTATAAAAAAAAACATTTGCTTCGACTTCTTTTTAAACAGGTCCAAAGAAGGATGCCAAGGCAGCCCGAGATTTCATACTAAACATGTTTACTAGCGTGAATCCTGATCCTTACAAGATCATCTATCCTCATTTCACCATTGCTACGAGTAAGTGAAAAATCAGAGTCTCTTCGCTTAATTAATTTCCATGTTGGTGTTTCATTGTCTGTAAAATGAAAGCTCATATCCCACAATAACTTATTAAATCTTGTTTTTGTTTTTAGGAACCGAAAATATTAGGTTTGTGTTCACTGCTGTTAAAGATACAATTTTAGAATCGCATCTGAGGGACACTAATTTGCTGTGAACTCGATTTCTAAAAATTGTCTATTTTAATAATATTAATAAGGAGCGAGGTTTGCGTATCAATTACAATTTAACAATATTTTAAGATAAAAAAGGAATAAATGTATGTACAGCAGAACCGATTTTGTTTTAAATATTTGTAAGTTATAAAATAAAGTATGTTAGAGGCGGCTGTTGCTTTTGGACATTAAAAAACAGTTTTTATTTCAAGCTTATGTTTACATATACATACAATCCATTAAATATAACATGGTTTACATAATGTTCTTATTCACCTAGGCGCACTAACTACGAATCCAGCTGCCTTCAGCCGGGGTTTCAGTACACGTGAATTATCACAATAAAATCATATATATGTTATGCTTTGCATTAACCGTAAAACCTTATATTGGCAAACAAGCGAATTAAACATCATATTGATCAAGAGTTCAAAACGAAACTTTCACAGACTTAATAAGCTAAATATAATCTTGGATGGGGGCTCGAATTGAATCTGTTTTGGCACTTGGACATTCACATGACCACAAAGTCGCTAAGGTTGCGTTCAGGTTGGACCATGCTCGGTGGCATCAGTTGCACCAGTTTGTTGAACAGGAAAGCTCGTTTATTCTTCAGCTCGGGAGTGCAATCCGCCCGCGCTCTTTTGGTGCATGAGGAGGAGCTCGGACTAGAGGCAGTCTCCGAGATGCCAGAAGAGATCATGCTCTCGTTGGACTCCAGGGATAGATTCTCTGTAGCGGGTCCATCAGCCAGTTCCTCTGTGAAGATAGCAGCTCAGTATTAAAAAAAAAAATAATCATTGACTAACAAAACCTTTAATCTTTGCCGATACATCGGAATCCGTTTCGAGATCATCTGCATCAGTACCCAATGCAGGTGTGGTGCATTCCCTTTCGGGGTTACCATCATGGTTTTTGAAAAGCAAAGACGCAAGCTTGTGGAACTAAAGAATTAAACTGCGATAAAAAAAGGCCAAGTATCTTACGTATTTTTTTTAGACATACATTATTTAACTGCTCCGCATCGCTATGGTCAATGACATCGGCTATATGATGCCGTAAGTACTGCATTGCCTTTAAGGGATCCTGGCGCGTCATCTCCTCGTAGCGCAGTTTACGCACTAAAAACCGACAATGCTTTAAGATCTCCTCTCGTTTGGGCCTAAAATATAAGTAAATTATCTTCGGCTACATCCAGCTTGTTCTTTAAATACTTTTCCAAGCATAATAGCCAAAAATCATCAAGTCTAAGCTGCTGCTGCTGACAGATACCCGGATTTCCTCCAAACAAATAGTGGGTATTAGTCACATCATCATAGACCAGCTGGTGGGCATAGCGGGGACACGGCTCTATGGTTCCATCCCCCTTGCTGGCGCCCAAAATATTCATGCTGTTGATAGAGTTTGCATCCTGGCCACTATGGCGACAGTAATATATCCTTGACCACTTGTGACTGCGCAAGGAATACACCCAAAAGGAATTTGATGCATCAATATGCTGTATATCACGACGATCCTTAACCTTACTTAGGCTCTAAAAATAAAGCAATTATATATGAGCGCTGAAATCATGTCAGAATTACTTACAGAAAAAATATAAATTTCATCACGTTCACAGTCAATTGTGGCACGCAATGTATAGCCAGAAGAAGGTTCGAATTTAGCTTCATTGCCAGCGGTGGTTCCGTGGTGGGGATGCTCCTTGTTGAGAACAGATATGGCCTGGGTATCTACATCGTAGCTGAGAAACTCGTCAAGATCCTCCTTGCCTCGCTGTCCGCCATATATGTAAAGTTTTCGATGTTTCTAATGTAGGGCAGAAATACAAATATGTGCTATGTGCATACATACTCATTAAGTATACTTAACCTACGTTATGAAAAACCATGCAGTGTGTGATCCTGGACTTAATGGACATCACATCTGTCAGGGAAGCGCTGGCATGGTGGCAGTCCACCAGAATCTGAGCCCAGGTGTTCGTTGCTATGTGATAGGAGAACAGCCCCGAATATTCTGGTTCTATCGCGCCCGTGGCATTGACACTGCGAGGCGTGAGTATTTTGCCTCCGAAAACGTAAATTGTACGCTTATCGGCATCCATGCACATCTGGTGATCATAGACAAGCTGAGGACCACCCACTTGGCTGGTGTCATCGCATATTTGCATCCAGTTGCCGGCCCTCGTATCGTAGAGGTAAAAGTCGCTCTTTATATAATCCGAAGTTCGAATCGAGTTGTCCAGATAACGACCAAGCATGAACACATTTTCGCTAATGGGATCAAAGACCATTTTGTGGCAGGATCGCGGTGTGGGCCCATTGGAAAGCTCTGACCTTTCGCACAGTAGCGTCCACTGATCATCTTCGATATTGAATACCCAAAGGTCGCTTAAATCCTGATAGCCATCCCAGCCGCCATAGAGATAAATAAGTCTTCTTTTGGCATCCACCACCAGCTGGTGTCCACCGCGGTTGCCTGAAAAAGAGGAAGTTAAGCTGATGATTGCTGTTTGGAGGTAGAAATACTTACCAGGCTTCAGATCGCTTTCGGTATGCTTCATATGCCAACTGTGCTTGTAGTCCTGCTTATGTAAATACTCATCCATTAGACCCTCGTCTATGCACTCGACTATAAAGCGTTCAGCCTTCTCAAAGTCGCCCTGCAAAACCTAAAATTACGATTTTTTTTGAATATAATACCAAGTATTCAAAGAATTATAAAATTTTGATCTATGCTAGGCATTCCTTACTTACCAGACACTTATGCAGTTCGCTTATCAGCGGGTGCTCCAGTTGCACATTCGTCTGCTCCTGGAGCGCCCCAAAGGCACTCAAATAGCCCTGCTGGCGGAAGTGTTTAAGACACAGCTTGATAATCTCCACCTCGCGCAGCGAGTTATAGTTCTTCATGCGAGCACTGGTGTACATGGGGTCGTCCTGGCCATGCAGCTCCACGTACCAGATGCTGAAGTTGAAGGACGGACCCCAGGAGAGCAGGGGCACAATCTTGAGGTACAGTATTGGTAGGTTTTCTGAACCGTCTTCGGTCAGGCAGCGCAGGTTGAATACTTCCGCTACGTTGTCGTTTTTCAGGCCACTAGGATATATGTACATACATATGAGGTTTATTAAAGAATGTATTTCGGAGAACCAGCTGATGGACCTACCCCTCCAGAAGCAATACCATGTGCTCATCCTCCAAGCCGCCGTAAACACGGAATTTCTTAATGTTGCACACATGCGACTTCTCGAACTTGCCAAACTTGATTTTCTTCACAATGGCGGGACGGCGCAGCTTCAAGGTGAGGAATTGCGGCGGGCTGTTGGTGTAGGCGGACCACCTAGATGTTTGGTCGTTGGGACAGTCCACTAGGACGTTTCTACGAATCGAATGGAATGCAAATTAAAAGTATTACGAAATGCGGGGCAACCATTTTCTTTTCCAGACTAGAACTTACTCGGGCAGATAGTTTGGCGAGTAGCTGGAGTAACGGTAGATCTCAAAGTTCAGGCGCTCGGAAAGGGAAAAAGGCTTCTGGCTGCTGGTACTCGTGCCGGAGACCGGATTCAAAGACGGATTGAGGGCCGAGGACAGCGCCACCGATCCGTGCGAGCTGTTGTCCGTGGGACTCGATGTCGAGGAGGAGGACATGGCGAGAGTTCTATTCCAACGATTTTAGCGGTAAATGTTTAACGGCGCTCGGTTATAGCTGTTATTACCTTTCTTTCTTGTCCGAACTTCTGTGCTTCCCTGTTCCACACCCAAAACAACCGCGTAACAGCTGATCGCCAGGGGCGTAGCTGTTATCTCATAAGGAGACCGATTACACGATAGTCTAACATTACGTTTGCATACAAGCAATTAACATTGTGTAAGTAACATATTAAATTAAGCTTTTTATTTAAAATGTAAACTCAAATCAAGTAATGCAACAGATTGATTTTTGCCTAAAATGTAGATCAGTGTATCGCGTCATATCGATTATTTATTTAAAGACTTGTTCGTTCACCCGTGAAGCCATTTTATAAATTGAACAAAGTTATTAAAATGTAGTTAGCTATGCTTTCAGTTATTGCGCTGGATTTATGTTTATTTGTTCTGATGATGGCAAAGTGGTTTGATATCTCGTGTGTATACTTGGGCATTTTATTGTGCATTCCAAACACCATTGTGCGTCAATAAACCCGTATAGCCTACAGATTTCAAAAATATTTTAGTTTTTAGTTCTATTCCAATGGATACTTTTTCAAAATCAGAAAAACTGAGTGCATAGGAAACGGAGTATATTTCAGCAATGTCTCTTGCATTTTGAAGCCGATAAACTGGACCCGATCGGTAATGAACATGGACTGCGACATAAGGGACGCAATAACTGATATTAAAGTGAGAATGATCATTAAATTAAGTATTACAATAACTTTGAAAATTTTCAGATGACAGTAGAAGTATTTTACAAGGATTCTTCCAATTTTTATAAGCCCTTCGCCGTTAAATTTAACTTTGATGTTTGCCAATTGTTGAAGAATAAAACACACCGAAATTTTTTGGAAAAATACACCTTGATGCATTTGACGAAATGGACTAATGTAAACCACAGTTGCCCCTATAGGGTAAGCTTATAAAAGTAAAATCTCCTCTATACATGCGCTATATATATATATATATGTTTCTTAAGGGTCATTTGAGTGCGCGTAACTTTCATTTGGACGAGGTCTCTCTACCCATACTCCCAATTCACGATTACAAAATTGCATTTAACTTTTCAGGAGCCAATCCAGGAATTCACTTGGGCTCGGTTTTGATATATTTTGAAATTCTAGAGGATTATTACAAGAACAAAAAGATAAAGCCACTGCCCAAGCCGTTCAGCTTTGTATAAAATTCTTGTATACAGTATATATATATATATATTTAGTATAACTTATACTTTGATTAGCTACGAATATTTTTCGCAACTAAGGAAATATTTAGTGTTTAGATCACGTTTATCGTATACCAAAGGTTAGTCTCGTGAAAATGTTTCAGACAACTTTTGTCGGTTGTAACCGGTACTCACCGAATACGGGCACACTGTCAGTGTCGTGGCTTGGTTTCGCACGGAATTTGTATTTTTAGTTTTAAAACAGCAAATAATTAGTAACAATGGCCTTTGACGCAATACCCAAGGATCTGCGAGGACTTCGCGCCTGTCTCGTTTGCTCCCTAGTGAAAGTAGGTTATGTTTTACGTAGACTCGACAAATTTTTATTGAAAGCTATCGCCCGCAGAGTTTTGATCAATTTGAGACTGATGGCTGCGAAAACTGCGAGGAGTTCCTGTGTATGAAGAACAACAAGGATAATGTCTATGATCACACAAGCAACAACTTTGATGGGATTATTGCCCTCACCACGCCTACCGATTCCTGGGTGGCCAAGTGGCAAAGATTGGGTAAGGCCTTAAAAACTTGGGTTCCAAAGGGTATTACTGATAGATTTCGAATAATTCTCCTTTAGCCCGCTTTACTCGTGGTATCTATGCCATATCTGTTTCTGGAACTCTGCCTCAGTCCACCTTACGCGACATGAAGAACCGTGGAATTGTCTACAAATCTCGGGACAGAAGTCAACGCTAAACAACTAGTTTGCCGTACAAAATACATGTATAAATCTTTATTTTTAAGTTATAACAAATCCACGAATACATACAGTAGCAATACAAAACGAAACCGCATCAGTCATCCAGCGAACTAACGCGCAATCCCTCGCCTCCGGCAGTCGTAACATGAACACCGAAGCCTGCCGATTCGAGCTCCTCCTTGAGCTTCCAGTAGACCTCGTTGCACTCGTAGTTCTCAGGAAGCAGGACGATGACATAGCCCCCTGCACCGGCGCCCGTCAGCTTCGAAAAGAAGCCACGCTTGAAAGCGATGGTAAAGATCTGTTCCAGTTTCGGATGCGACACTCCGATGGCCTTTAGCAGATCATTGTTGATCTGGAAAAGGCGTTCAAGTTGCTCGAACTTCGCGCTATCGTCCTGGGCATTGCCAAAGCTCTCGTAGAGTGGAACGGCGGCGATAACAAGTTCCTCGCAAGCATGCCAAATGGCCTCAATGAGCTGCGGAAAGGCCTCTCCCAGGTGACGCACTTTGGCCACAATGTCCGCGGTGCTGCGACTCACACGACTGTCCACCAGCAGGATGTTCAATGGTTTCTGGATCTTCAGCGACTGGAAGCCCTGGCCCTTGACATACCGCAACATTCCGCCGTAGGTGCACACGGTGTTGTCCAGACCCGAGGGCGTGCCATGATTAACGCGCTCCGATTCGAAAGCCCATGTCGAGATCAACGCCTGGTTTGCTTCTGCCAAGTAGCTGTCTCTATCGAAGTGTCCGGCCAAAATGAGAAATGTCGTGGCCAAAGCGGCTCCAAAAGAGGCGGAACTGCCCAGGCCCGCACCCACGGTTAGCTGGCTGTCTACCTGTACCTGGAAACCGGTTTGCAGCGTCAGCTTTGTGTCGCCGGGTGCAGAGAGTACAGCGCCGGCCAGCAAATAGTATATGGAGACAAATGCCCGCTGCGTGTGCTGCTTGGGTGCATTGCCTCCGGATCGTTCAAGTTGTTTGGACACCTCTGCGCGGACGGCTTCCAAAAGCTTGGCAGTGCTGTCCGATGGATATTTACTCCTAAATTCAGCCAGGAAGCTGTTGAACTCCGGCAACTGAATCTCCAGCGTGCAGTTAAGGGCCTCCAGTTGAAAACTTGCCACCTGGCTGTCCTCAAGCTGCCGGAATCTGAGAGTAGTGCCCAAACCCACTACGGCGGCGAGGGCGGGACGGTGATAGACCACAGCGTGTTCGCCATGGAGGATAACCTTTCCCGGAGAATGGACCTGGAACTTGAGCATTGTTCTCGATGATCTCTGTGTATTGTGTGCTTCGTATTCCGTTTGGCTATGGCTTTATCGGTTTATCAGCTATTTCCAATTGTAATGCTAATGCCTTTTGAGTGGACGACCTGCGACGAGTACTTAAACTTTTATGGCTGCTTCTTTATGTAACTTATGCATTTAGTGGATCATTTGCGTTGTTTATTCGGTAACTCCTATTTCTGCCTGCCGATTCCTGTGCTTTCCCTTTCACTTTCTTTGTGCGACTGGCGTTTTTCGGTTTGTTCGTTTCTTCAATCGGAAAGCACAACCAACCATCAGCAAACGAACAACAGGTTTTTGCGGCTAGTCTTTGCTGTTGTTGTACCGCCCGTCTATATGTATATGTGTATGTGATGTTGTTTTTGCAACTACTATTGGGCTTTCACTTTCTCCCACTCTTCGGGTGTGTAGGATTTCTGGGAGAATGCATGGATTTCCTTCAGTTCTTCGGACAGCGTCGAGTTGACTAATCTATGCTTCTGGAGAAGGGTCTTGCCGCTGAAGGCTGGCGACACGATTACGGCACTGAATTTGCCGCCACAGCCGTCCGATTCGTCCGTAACACTCACGTACTCCGTCTGCAGTTCCCGTTTGAGCTTCTCCTCTAGGTACTTTGAATCGTATTTACTCATATTGGATGGTTTTTTTTTTTCAAACGAAGCGAGGTGATGAAGTGGTGTGTGACCGTTTGGGGCTTTGGTTAAAAACAGGTTTTCCATAAGCCGGTTGGTGGTTTCTATCTTTACTGACTCTGGCCCCACTCAAATTTTAAAATTTTATTTTTCGAGAGATTGCTGCGACTTATTCAAAAATATTTCAATTTGAAGCTTATCTAAAATCTTATTGGAGAGTTACTATCTGTGCTTATATGCTCCAAAACAAAGTGCTAATAATTTTGTCATGTTTATTTCCATATTCTTCTAGAAAATGCCATTCTAGAAATGCCATGAAGGTTGACTATTCGGTCACATTTTCTGAACTATTATGAGACTCCATTAATTCCCGTTTCCGTAATTTAAACGTTGTATTTGAGTTTTTTTTTGAATAGAAATAACGGCACACGGCCAGTGCTGTCATTCATAGTAAACAAAGCTAGCATTGCCAGACATAACCTAGCCTATCAAAACTATCGATAGTCCACATTCGCGATCTATTTGGCACCACTTATGGTGCCGCCGCCAACTTCGCGCATTCATCGCATAATCTTCCGATAGCACGCGCAGTTTTCCCACCATTCATTAAAAAAAAATCGCATGTAATTATTTACCATTTGTTTAAGCGAAACAAACTTTGTTTTGTGTAAATTGCCTTATATGCTTGTACTGAAAGTGTGATTAACAGTTTGCACATTCGATTTTCAGTGTAAATCAAACGACGCCAGTGTGCAGCACGTTTGATTGCCGAGGGAAAATTTGTGAAAAAAACTTAATTTCATTAAGAGACAGACGCCGGCATTGCAAATATGTCCAAAACAGAAACAGCTGCAGTGGAGGCAACCGAAGAGAACTCGGTATGTTAAATACGGCGGGGATCCCCTATGGACTTCCGTACATATATTCTGATCTCTTCCAGAACGAGACAACTTCGGATGCGGCCACCAGTTCGTCCGGTGAAAAGGAGGCTGAGTTCGACAACAAAATTGAGGCTGATCGTAGTAGGCGCTTTGATTTCCTGCTTAAGCAGACGGAGATCTTCACGCATTTTATGACCAACAGCGCTAAGAGTCCCACGAAGCCTAAGGGCAGGCCCAAGAAGATCAAAGACAAGGATAAGGAAAAGGATGTCGCCGAGTGAGTTCTACTGTCCATATAAAAAGCTCGTTCCTTTATTGGTATATTTCTGTATTAAACAGTCATCGGCATCGCAAGACAGAGCAGGAGGAGGATGAGGAGCTTCTGGCGGAGGACTCTGCCACCAAGGAGATCTTTCGCTTCGATGCCTCACCCGCCTATATCAAAAGTGGCGAGATGCGTGACTACCAGATTCGTGGTCTCAACTGGATGATTTCGCTTTACGAAAATGGTATCAATGGAATCCTGGCCGATGAAATGGGTCTGGGAAAGACCCTGCAGACCATATCCCTGCTGGGTTATCTTAAGCATTTTAAGTGGGTTTTAATAAACATTAAGTGCTTTAATGAAAACTCTAAATACCATATTTACCTGCAGAAATCAAGCTGGACCACACATCGTCATCGTGCCAAAGTCAACGCTTCAGAACTGGGTGAATGAGTTTAAGAAGTGGTGCCCTTCCCTCAGAGCCGTCTGCCTTATTGGTGACCAGGACACCCGTAACACCTTCATTCGGGATGTGCTCATGCCGGGCGAGTGGGATGTTTGTGTGACCTCCTATGAGATGTGTATCCGCGAGAAGTCCGTATTCAAAAAGTTCAACTGGCGTTATTTGGTCATCGACGAGGCGCATCGTATCAAGAACGAGAAGTCAAAGCTGTCAGAGATTCTGCGAGAGTTTAAGACCGCTAATCGTCTACTTATCACGGGTACTCCGCTGCAAAATAATCTTCACGAGCTATGGGCCCTCCTAAATTTCCTGCTGCCCGATGTGTTCAATTCGTCAGAAGATTTCGATGAATGGTTCAACACAAACACCTGCCTGGGTGATGATGCGCTTATTACGCGCTTGCATGCCGTGCTGAAGCCTTTCCTGCTCCGTCGTCTAAAGGCCGAAGTGGAGAAGCGTCTGAAGCCTAAGAAAGAGATGAAAATATTTGTCGGTCTATCTAAGATGCAACGCGACTGGTACACCAAAGTACTGCTTAAGGATATTGATGTAGTGAACGGCGCTGGCAAGGTGGAGAAGATGCGGCTACAGAACATCTTGATGCAGCTGCGCAAGTGCACGAACCACCCATATTTGTTCGATGGCGCCGAGCCTGGTCCACCGTACACCACGGACACGCATTTGGTATATAACTCGGGAAAGATGGCTATTCTGGACAAGCTGCTGCCCAAGCTCCAAGAACAGGGATCGCGTGTGCTGATTTTCTCGCAGATGACGAGGATGTTGGATATACTAGAGGATTACTGCCATTGGCGGAACTACAACTACTGCCGATTGGATGGTCAGACGCCGCACGAGGATCGTAATAGGCAGATCCAGGAATTTAACATGGACAACAGCACCAAGTTTCTCTTCATGTTGTCCACCCGAGCCGGTGGTTTGGGTATCAATTTGGCTACAGCTGATGTGGTCATCATTTACGATTCAGACTGGAATCCTCAAATGGATTTGCAAGCTATGGATCGTGCTCATCGTATTGGCCAGAAGAAGCAAGTGCGCGTTTTCCGGCTTATCACCGAAAGTACAGTGGAAGAGAAGATCGTGGAGAGAGCAGAGGTCAAGCTCCGTCTGGACAAGATGGTCATCCAGGGTGGCAGATTGGTTGACAACCGCTCCAATCAGTTGAACAAGGATGAAATGCTTAATATAATCCGTTTTGGAGCAAACCAAGTGTTTAGCTCTAAGGAGACAGACATCACCGACGAGGACATCGATGTTATTCTGGAACGCGGAGAGGCCAAGACGGCCGAGCAGAAGGCAGCATTGGACAGTATGGGCGAGAGTTCGCTGCGGACGTTCACAATGGACACAAACGGCGAGGCAGGAACTTCCTCCGTCTATCAATTCGAGGGCGAGGACTGGCGCGAGAAGCAAAAGCTGAATGCGCTGGGCAACTGGATCGAGCCACCAAAGCGTGAACGCAAAGCAAACTATGCCGTGGATGCCTATTTCCGTGAGGCTCTCCGTGTCTCGGAACCCAAGGCTCCAAAGGCTCCCCGCCCACCCAAGCAGCCTATCGTTCAGGACTTTCAGTTCTTCCCACCCCGTCTGTTTGAGCTGCTCGACCAGGAAATCTACTATTTCCGCAAGACCGTTGGTTACAAGGTGCCCAAGAACACAGAACTGGGCTCGGATGCCACCAAAGTGCAGCGGGAGGAGCAGCGCAAGATCGATGAGGCAGAGCCGCTGACCGAGGAGGAGATCCAGGAGAAGGAGAATCTACTCTCACAGGGTTTTACTGCCTGGACCAAGCGCGATTTCAACCAGTTCATCAAGGCCAACGAAAAGTACGGTCGGGATGATATCGACAACATTGCCAAGGACGTGGAGGGCAAGACACCGGAGGAGGTTATCGAGTACAACGCCGTCTTCTGGGAGCGATGCACTGAGTTGCAGGATATTGAGCGAATAATGGGACAGATTGAGCGTGGAGAGGGCAAGATTCAACGACGGTTGTCTATTAAGAAGGCTTTGGATCAAAAGGTAGTTTTCTTTTTTGTCCTTTGCTTCCGTTGAGAATGTTTATATATAATAATATATTTTCGTTGTAGATGTCGCGCTATCGGGCTCCCTTCCATCAGTTGCGCCTGCAATATGGCAATAATAAGGGCAAGAATTACACTGAAATAGAGGATCGCTTTCTGGTATGCATGCTCCACAAGTTGGGCTTTGACAAGGAGAATGTCTACGAGGAACTGAGAGCAGCTATAAGGTGAGCCGAAACCTTGTCTTATAAAAGGGTAAACCCAATAATCATTTTGATTGACTTTCAGAGCTTCTCCGCAATTTCGCTTTGACTGGTTCATCAAATCTCGAACAGCTCTAGAGCTACAGCGTCGCTGTAACACGTTGATCACCCTTATTGAACGTGAGAACATTGAGCTGGAGGAGAAAGAACGCGCCGAAAAGAAGAAAAAGGCTCCAAAGGGCAGCGTATCCGCTGCAAGTGGAAGTAGCAGCTCCAACACTCCAGCACCCGCGCCCCAACCGAAGGCCAATCAGAAGCGGAAGAGCGAGGTGGTGGCTGCCAGCTCCAACTCGAAGAAGAAGAAGAAGTAAAGCAACAAAGCGACCAGATATTCTCCTGAGATTCGGCTCTACACTCAGCACTAGCAGTTAAATAGTTAAGACAAGCGATTACTTAAACATATTTCTCTTGATATAGATAAATAGTTCATAACTCACGCCGGATGCAATTCCCCCTAAAATTCTAAATATCTTTTAAACACCCGCCTACACATCCGGCTATATTACTATTGCGTGCCGCTGTATTCTATTCCAAGTAATTGTATTCTCTTCTAAGACTATAACCATTTTATTTATATAAATCAACACAGCAATCTTACGATTTTATTTTCCTTTTAGTGTGGGGAATTCCGATCAGTTAAAGGCGACACATTGAATGTTTTGGTACTGTTTGCTTTGTTTTGGAATGCTGAGCAACTTAACGTAATAACATTTATAAATTCTATGAATTGCAGCTTAGTTTGTGTAACAGGGCACTTAAACTTAATATCATCATGTTCATGCAGTCAACGGCATCGGTAATTTGGCATTCGAGCCGCTTGACCATGTTCAACATGGCCATAAGTTGGGTGTGATGTGGATGTGGGGGGCTTTGCCTGCTTTTTGAACTCATACTCGTCTTTCATCTCGCTTCCTTTGTTGGAGCTACCTGCATCTAGTGTAATACTACTGTCTGTTTGAAGGTTGAACCCGTACATATGGAAACCTTAATCGTCGCCGCTGTACATTTCGATGATCTCGTTAATGCTGGCGACGGCACCAGCAACCAGGGCAAGAATGGAGAACACCCCCAGGAAGATGTTCTTGACCAGCTTCCACTTGCACACGCCCAGGCGATCGGGCCACAGGTAAACGGTCTCCACGAAACTGGGCACAAAGATGCCCAGCAGCGAGAAGAACACGGCACCCACCAGACTGATGAAGGGTTCCAGATTGGGGATAGCCGCAGCCACACCACCGCTCAGCAGGATAATGCCACTGCGCAGCAGGATCTGTGTAATGTTGTGCTTCTCGGGACTGAACTTGTGACTGATCTTGCGCCAGAGGATCTCGTTGGGCACATAGAACTGCAGCCCAAAGGTGAACAGGATGGCGACGGCCATCAGGAGCTTTGCTGTATCGCCCAACCACGCGCCTTCCGGCAGATTCAGCGTGATGCTGCCACGCACCTGGTCGCCAAATCTCACATATCCGAAGAATCCGATGATGGCATAGAGCGAGACCACAGTGACCATAGCAGTGTTAAGAACTCCGGGGCATCCCAAGAAGTGCTGGGGCTTTCTCATCGAGTTCTCCACGGGCATCACAACACCGATTCCCTCCATGGCAAAGATCACGGTGGCAAAGAACAGTGGAATATTGGCAGCCTTGGCGATCAGAGGCTTGTCGGAGTAAACCAGCGGCTCGTCGAACATGTAGTACAGAGTGATCACGAATGTAACCACAATGAAGATGTTGGCCATCATGGAGAATGGCACCAGCCACTTGAGTTCACGGATCTGGCCGATGAGCAGGCAGGGAATCACGGTTAGGGCAATGTAAATTCGCACATCCCAGTTGATTTTCAAATCATAGTTAATGACATCGTGGAAGGATGTCGCAATAAATACGATATAAACACATGCCGCTGCATAGTAAGTGGCCATCAGTCCGATATCCACGAATTGCCTGAATACATAAGCGGATTACCATTGGATAACTTCTTCCAAATTATCCGTAAGCTCTACTCACTTGGCGAAATTTGAGTAGGGTCGCATCCCCTTTGGTCCGTACTCGAAGACCTTCTCCGCCGTCTCAGCAAATCCCAGAGCCGAAACCTTGGCATCCCTACAAATGTTGTGCGAAGTTTTAACCTGCAAGAATGATCAAATATAGTCGTTATGTAGTTTTATACTAATCGTTTAAACCTTTGAAAAAGTTAAAGATTATTTAGACAACAATTTATTGGTGGCTCAAAGCTTTTACTCCATGAATCCAACTTTCGCTTGTAGCAGTTCAAAATATTTATATTATGACTAAGGTCATCAAATAGTTTCAAGCCTAATTAGTATTATTTATTATTACTTGAAAATGAATATATAGATTTAATCTTGAGACTTGAACACTTGAACCATTCTTCCACCTTAGAGATAATCCAAGGATTATTATGTTTATTATTCCTTAAGCGGATGCGATTATAAAGTGTCGCCTCATCATTTGTTAAGTGTAAATCAAATTAGGTTCAAGTAGTCAGTTAATCAACTTTAGAACATTTTTAACTAGGAAAATATATCAAACAAGTACTACTACGAGTACTGTTACCGAAAATAGTAAATCTTAGTGATCGCAGCTAAGCACTCGAAAAGGCGCTCGGGAAAAGTCCAAAATGACTTTCCAAATCCAAATGCCATAAATCTGCTGACTCAAGTGGCTAGTTTATGGTGTATGCTCGCATTTTTATATATGAGCGATAGAGGATCGGTGATTTTGCCTTTCCAAGAAAAGCATTTGCTTGATTTATGTAATGTTTGGGTAACCGATTTGGGATGTCTGGAAATTGGAGTGCTGCTAATTCTGGGAAATTACGTCTTCTGGATTTGCGAGGATCGGAAATACTTGATCGTAAATGGAAGTCGTAAAACTCCAGCAATCTCACATATAGAATGTATGTAGTATCTACGCCGATAAGAGCAAGTGGGTCTGGACTAGGCTTTTTTTTTGACGCGTGCAACTATTGGACTACCCGTTGCTGTGCTTATCTGGGCACAAGCGTTTTCATTGGCTCCATTGATTGGGCACCTTGATCTACTTAAGCCCCGGAAAACTACGTCAGCCATGGATTATTCGGCTCACCTGGTCTGGCTGCTGTCTGTCGTAAATTGCTTGAGTCAATAGCCAGAATCAGGTGCTAAAATCTTGACCACTTCACTTACCAATATATGTACGCAATGGGTGCAGAGGAATCCAACGATCAGCGTCATGGCCATTCCAAAAGCCAGACCGGCATTGTGAAAAGCCATGGGCATGGCCAGAATGCCCGTGCCCAGGGAACTCTTGAGCAAGTGCGCCAGAGCGCCACCGGCACTGGCTCCATTGGGGTCGCGGTGCTCGAAGGGATGGTAGGGATCCTCCGTGAGGGAAATCTCTTTCTCCGTCAAGTTGGCTCTGTGAGAAAAGATGGGAACGTGTTACCATTGCTTTTTTCAAAGTTGGGATAAGGACAATGAGCTTGGACTAAGCTGACCATAGCCATAAAATCCGATAATTATAGAAATAGATGTTCAAGATCAACATTCCATGGAATGGGATCATAAAGCTGGGCGTACTCACTTCGAGTTGAAGTCATTCAGCGTGACCATTGAGTCGGTGTACGGAGGCGGGTTCTCAACTGGTGACGCCGATGGGAGGGATTCCTGTCCATCGGGGGTAAATCCCTTGTTATCTGCCATCTGAAATCGAAATAAAACGTGGATCGATTGGTATTTAATGGAATTAGCACACTTGATTGAACGACCGCACACGAACGGGCTTTATCGGCGTAGGGAAGCACGAGATTCGCTTTCGTTGGCCATTTAAGGCTCGGGTTAATCCGCTCGAGGGTTGCTAGGCACAAGCCAGGCGTATCTTATCGACTCTTGGAAACTTTCGAGTATTAGAATTGCCTTACCAAAGAGATTTCTGGCACTGGCCGATTGTTATCGGAAATGGCTAAGAATGGAGCTGGGAGTGGGGTCGAGCAAATAAACAACAATGGCACTTCGAGCATAAAATTCAGGTTTATTGTGCCCTAAAGACGCTTGTAATTCGGCCATATAATCGGGCCCTAAATCACCGTCCATATAGTAGTCACCACCTATTTTTCGTATTGGTTTGATTCATTTCTATGGGAAATAATTGAGGTTCTTTCGCGGCAACTGATCAACTTCTGGCATGTTCTTTGAACCCAGACTAGCGTAATCTTCGATTTATTTGTATTTATGGTGGGCAACCTCTTCTTTAAAATTTATGAATCTTTTATTGTTGCACTATGAAACTTCTGTTGGCATGAAAGGCTAAAAATTTGTGAACAATTCACGAACAACAAATAATCGAGAGGTCACATGCTTGCATTCTAAGTAATATGTATGTAAATAATAACTATAATAACTTAAACTTGAACTATGTACTTAGTCTTAATCAAATGCAATTGAACAGTTTTTTGTAAGGCTTCGTATATCCGTAATTAAATAAGATACTACTGTGATTACTATCTTTATTCTCGTGGCATTCTTAACTGCGATCGATCATAAAGACTTAGAGGAGTGGAAAATTTACGAATTTGAGTCAGTATTTGCCCTAGTTTCATCACAACTGATTTCGATTTCTCCGACAATGTTAATGAAGTTGAACTTCAAGTTGGTAAAAATTATACAGTGCACTATGCAGTACTTAGTCATGCACTTTTGGCGAATCGTTTAACGTAGTGTATTTATAATTAAACAACAGGTCTGTTTCTGTTTAGTCCCTTAATTTAGTTCGGATGCGCGGTAAATATACGTAACTTCATGTTTCCCGGTTACTTACATTTGAACTAGGATATTCCGGTGGAAAAAGTTATGGGGTGGAAAGGAGGACCGAACGCGTCCTCTGGCCAAAAGTAACTGAACGATCGGTTAGCCAGGCCAATGGACAAGGGTTCTGGTTCTCGGCGGCTACAACGCCGAAAAGTGTCGGAAAACGTCGAAATAATAATGTCCAGATATGATAACGATTTAAGGCAAGACAGGCTACAACAATCAATAAACAACAAATGCCCGCAGCATGCCACATTCACAGCTAATAAAATAAACCACTCAAAGCTACCTTTAAAATCAATTATCAACTGATAACATTATCGTGCCCGAACCAGGCCGAAGAGAACCGAACCCATCGGATCCAAAGATTAGAACACAATCCAGTTAACTGATTTGCTGACCAGGTTGGCTAGGAACTGAAATCAAGAGTGCTCTCCCGCTATCAATGATGTAGTTGTTCATTGATTTAAGTCGGATCGTTTCGAATGCCTAATTACTATCATGTGAATCTATAGACCCTTGATGGCTAATTACGATCTAAGAAATCAAATAATTACGATTAATGACCACTAATCGTGTGGGATGGCGTTATTATTATCAATATTATCTGTGCCCCGATAAGATTAGTGGTCAGTGATACTCACAGTGCCATTGCTTTACTTCTTATGTAAAGAGCGCAACTCGTTGATTTGTGACTTTGAAAGCCTCAAATATGTTTTGATCGGACATTATTTGCTATTTACCCAAAGCAATTGCCTTTTATATGGAGCAAATCGATAATTGGAATCGCTAAATCTTTATGATCGACTTCTAATTGGGTTCCAGTTACTGGGGGGCCCCATTTGTTATACGACATAACGCGAACTCAGAACCCCTTCGAAATTCAATCGTATCGGAACACTCGGACATTGATTAGTTTCCCAGCCCATCCGAGACTTGCGGCATATTCGCTTTATGACCAATTACATTAATTAGTTCCGCCATTTGACTAATAATTTAATTAAGAATCGCGTCATCACAGTATATAGTCTTTGATTTGGGCTCTACCATCCTGCTAATTGGCTATAAACCTTGGTGCCCTGGCACAGAAACTGACGTCTTAGGTTTTTGGGGATTCTCCTAATGAGCGAAACGGAATACGAACGATTCCGAGTTAAATGTTTACTCCAACAATTATATAGTGATTTATAAAATCCTAATTGCCAAATACTACGTCAAACGATGAAAGTGGGGCTTTTCGGATGTTGACCTGAATTCGGTGGATGATTTTCGTAAGATACTGTTCTCATCCTGTGCATTTTTCCGCATCAAGGTATGTGGCTTACACAACTCGACCTTTATCTCCGGTTTTTGCCTTATCAAAGCCATATACTCCAGTATTAACTGCATTATACCCTGACCTGCTTCCATGAGCCCCCCGCCCACCGCCACCGACCCTGCGAACGGCCTTCCCACCTGTTGCATAAACAGCGAAAAACTGCGTACAACTGAAATGGATGGGTATTTTGTAGCCATAGGAATTTCTCCCTGCCAATTCTCGAGCACCGCCTTAAGTACCTTTAATTGGATGCCGCATTTTTGAATGGCATTTCGAGTGGGATCTCTTTTGGGTCAATGCATTCCATTTAAGCCAAGACAGCTTTTTGTTGCCTTTTTGTTGCCAGTTCTCGGTTTTGCTTTCCTTTGTTTTTTGCTGCTTTTGTTTTGCTTGTGTGTTCGCTTCACGTGCCGCAAAAGGAGGCAAAAATCAAAACCGTTGACCGTCCTGACAGATTATCAATATCATTCAATAAGCCCCACAGCACTGAGATAAACATATGGTAACTAACTAATAATGAAATTTACGTTTCAATTAGTAACTAAAGTAACAGCACCATTTCCTACATTCAAGTTGTGGATTTTTTATTAATGTTTATTAAAGTTTTTTAAAACTAATTTCCCAAATAAGCTGTTTAATTTTTAAAAATTTTCTTAGCTAACACATATTCTGGTTGGTTAACGATTTTTAATATTTGTATCATATCGCACTGTACTTATACAATGTATGTATAGCATACGAATACTTTGTAATCATAAGCTTGGGTATTTATAACTCCTTAAGTAATATTTTTGAATAATTTTTTGCCATTTTTTTCAGTGCAAGGGGATATGCGGGCTGGAAAAGGAGTCCAATGTCAGACGATCTCGGTGGATCGGCTGGGATAGCACCACGCGACCTTATCGCACCCACTTTCGATATGCAAAACGGATGAGCCTGAGTGGCATAATTGATCGGACAGTTCGACAGCTTTGTAGTGTTGAACTTGCAGCTACAAATCTCGTTGTTCAACTTTCGGGCATTAACCATATTATATATTAACGACGATGTGATAATGTGCCACCTGGCCGACTTTGAGTGACAACTGTGTGTGGGTTGCTAAAGGGGGGTATTTTTTTTTGCTTCGAGAATCTGAATTAAACGCCAGGTTTATTGTACCGTGTATAGTGAAACTGTAAGGTAGCTGTCAAGATAAAACTGAGCCAATAATCTTTTATGGCATCCAATTCGACGCTTATCACCGCAACAAAAAAAGGGGGCGCAATGATTTTTCCCACTTCCCAATCGGCTCACAGTAAGCCGATTGAAAGTAAAAGGGGCTGGGCTCGAAGTTTGGGGCACTTTTTTGTTAATGTCACATGCATCCGATAAATATGCCTGATAACTCATTTGATGTGCGGGAATTAATTATAAATAATTAGGGCACTAAAAAAATAGGCGATAATAAACACGACAAGCGCCGTGTAAACAAACAATTCATTGCTCAAGCCCAATAATTACCTTTGGCCCGATTTAGTTCGCTGTGAACTCTGATGCAAAATTATAGAGAAATTATATTAATTGCTTGATCTAATCGTTTCTCCTCGACATTGACGCCAAAATAAGTGACTTTTTCACACAGTCGCGTTAATGACAGTTATGCTCGATGGTGCGATTATAAGGCCAGCATTTGCAGAAGCAATCGACACTCTTTAACTGTTGTGACCACTTGCTTGTTTAATTATTTAAGTTTTAACACCTGCTGGATGTGCCGAGGATTTACGAAATTCGCGCGCGCGCTACTCTGCGATTTTGATCCCGCTGAACGGTTTGTTGTTAACTGTCAGACGATCGCTTAGTGACTGATATTAAGCCAATGTTTGTGCCTTAATTTGTTGCTCCGGTGGCGTCGCCAGAGCGGCTATAAACCCGGCCAGACACACAGATACACATGTGCACATATTCGTATATCCCCACATCCCAACGAAGCTCGGAGACGAAGGCGTTTTGGCTTTGGTTCGGGCAATTAGCGCAATGGACAATAAACGTTACCATGACGCAGGTGGGGCGAAGTCGGCCTCTCTCTCGAAAAGGTTGGCATATACGATATATATATGCGCTGTGGGTATAGGTGCTTTCTACAGATCGCGCAGCATTGGCCATTCGTCGGCCAGACAAGTCTGCCTCGTCCCATTACTCATACGCCGTGTGGCCGCAGAAAAGGTGGAGGAGGAGGTGATGGTAGGGGAGGAGGAGGTGGAGGGGGAGGGGGAGGAGGAGGAGGAGGAGGTGCAGGAGGAGGAGGAGCAGGAGGAGGAGGAGGAGGAGGAGGAGGAGGAGGAGGAGGAGGAGGAGGAGGAGAAGGAGAAGGAGAAGGAGAAGGAGAAAGAGATGGAGGAGTAGGAGGAGGAGGTGGAGGAGGAGGAGGAGGTGGAGGTGGAGGGGAGGCGCAGGAGGAGGAGGAGGAAGGAGAGCAGGAGGAGGAGGAGGAGGGAGTGGATCGGCGGATGAGGATAATCGGGTGCCCAGAGTGAAAGCCAAATATTGTTGTTAGGGGAGATTCTTATCTGCCGTGTGTGGATGCTACTTGTTCGAATTGGTTTATTTATGGCTTGCTTATAAGCCTTTGCTTAGCTAATCCAATTTTTTTTCAGGAAAACTCTCAGGTCCCCCTCCCAGTCCTGAGTTCAGGCATACTTTTGGGGGTCACCAGATCTTCACTGATTACTATTCTTTTTTAAGACAATCTCATCACCCTGTATCCTTCAATGATAACGATATCTATAAATCAACTGCCATAGCTAAAAAACTTAAAAACTACACATAATAGTTTAAGCAGGGCTTTATGAAGAAGTTTACATGGCAAAAATAACTTTATTTAAAGAAGAAATTTCTTTGAAACTGAAAACTTTTGAACCTGAAAAGGAACTACTACTAGTGTTCATTCTGTACTTAGCTAACACAAGATAATGATTGGAATTTAGGTGATTGATAATTATATAGATATTAAAACCGTATTATTTTACAACGACAATAAAGCTATAAAACCCCGATAGGCATTCATATCTTTTCCAGTGTATCTGGCACAATAGCAAAAGCAAGTTGCGAACTTGCAGCTCGAGAATGCGCGACACCTTGCAGCTCTTTGAGCCTCATAGCCAATGCCCCCCAGTTTACATGCCACCCCTCCCAACAATCACTAAGTGCTGCCTTGGAGGCTTCTCTCCTAGACAGAGTTTAGTGATTGACTTGTTTCAAGTAGCTGGTTTTGTTGTCTAACCATAAAATATGAAAAAACGATCGGTTTTGTTTGCTTAGTTAGTTTGTGGCTTCAGTGGGACAGTGGAAAATTTTTAGACGCATGGCAAATGCTGTAGACAAAATGCATTTTTCACGTGATGTGCATTTCAAATAGAGCTGAGCCAAATCGATTGTCAGCTGTCGTCGATTTATGGGGGCATTAAATCTGGAGGTAGTTTTGGTCCAATGGCGTAATTAAGTATCGGTTAGACAAGCGAGTTCTGGAATTGCGATAATATCTGAGGGGTTGATTGGATATATTTCTCCCGGGCTATGGATATTGTAAGCTTCGTATCTTTAATTGCAGAGTACCAGCTGATAAAGCATGATGTACGAGCCGTGTTGTATTGTTTAACAAGGTTTTCTATTGACGCAAGACAACTGCACGTTGCGTATACGACATGTGGAAGCCTTGGCAGGCTGATGGACTGATAAGCTAAAAGGTTCTGCGATTAACGAGACCTGAAACCCTTTTGAAGCAGGTCAAGTACTTAGTCTATAGCCTCCGCAATATTGACACTACGATTCCTTATCGATGTGGAATTCGGAAAACATTTACTACCGCTGCTGTCCCCGTATTGACAATCTTCGTTGAGCTTGATAGCCTCCTGGATGGGTCCTCCTGGGTGCTTTTAAGATATAATCGGCTCGTGGGGTATTCCCCCCTCATCTGATATACATTGTGCAGCCTTGAAATTGCGTGTCATCAATCTAATTGATTTTCAAGCGGCAGCTGAAACACAAATACCTGGAAAAAGTTAAATCAGAAAAATCCCCCTCCCTTAAAAAGATACTTAAGGCCTCTTGTCACCGGATTCCGCTTCCCTGCCTCATTACAATGCGCATCGTATCGTACTGGCGTTCGTATATCTGACCAACTGATCGAGCTTGAGCAAATTGAAATTTAACGTAATCCCGTCGAGAAATTCACGTCCAAACCACATTGTGTGTGCATTATCGTTCATAACAACGAGTTAAAACAATAAATAATTGATTTGCTTCCGCAATTGGCTTCCGGATCTGCCTTCTCGCCATGTCTTGGGGTCAACTCGGTTCGAAACGGACGCATCCAGCACTGAGTAATTAATTAACTGATTAATTAATATGCACACTGCGCAGCTAGATTCCGATATTTCGGATATACACAGCTTCTGCCAACGACACTGACCTCGCCCGATGTCAAACACCCGCGACGCATTCTGAATTTACGGCCACAGTCGCAATCTTCGATCATGAATGGAGGTGAGATGGTGACGCAATGTAGATTCGCAACCAAGATCTGGGCTAGTGGGGGTGCTCCCAGTCATCCGTGTGACAACTTCCTTGACTAACCGGTTAAGTCTTAAACGGGCGGCTCCACAAAGTGAATTTATTTAGCGCTTGTTTTGTTTCTTGTTGGCCCAGGTGACAGAACCGCATTGCTTGAGCGGGCCCCAAAAATACAATAAGTGTGGCGGATCACGCCCTGTAATATATGCAAATTACCTGTTGTACAAATGACAAACGAAGGCACACTCATCTGGCATTAAAAACTGCCACTTGTAGGTTGATTCGCCATGCAATCACACTCAACTCGCATGACAATAGAAAGTTTCTAAGTCTGAGATTCTCAAGAAATTCCGATTTCCGCATAGCTCGACGACAGAACTATCAAGGTGTTTTGCATCCAAGTTGCAGTTCTATGCTGGGCGTGATCATGCAATGCAAATAGGAGTGTATGTCGATCGGTCGTATTTAATGGCTGTAATTAGTATTCCCATGCTTAAATAGAGATGCGTCATCGCCGGTATTAAAACATTGTTTACCTACAATTAGCGTAATTAAAGTTATTTGGCAGCTCGACGGGATCGAATGCTTTTTATAAAAACAATTGAACTGGGCTTTGCGGCTTCAGTGTTTCTACAACAGTAATAGGTTAAATTATAAATGCAATTTTCAGCTTAACGTTAGGGGAGTGGCTCGGTATCTATTTACTCCCCCTTGTAGACGGGCTTCCGCTTTTCGGCGAAGGCGGCGAGACCTTCCAGGCGATCCTTAGTGGGTATCACCTGCGAGTAGCAGATCTCCTCGATGGAGTATCCAGTGGCCAGGTCCACCTGCATGCCTTTATCGATGGCTAGTTTGGCCATCCGCACGCCCACTGGGCCGTTGGGCAGGATTTCCTCTGCCAATTTAAGTGCCTGCTGATAGGCGGCGTCTTTGGTTTCGTTCTGTTTCACCACATGGTTGACCAATCCCAGATCTTTGGCCTCTGCTCCGTTGAACACTCGTGCCGTGAATATAAGTTCTTTGGCTAGAGCAGGAGACAGAATGCGGGGCAGTCTTTGGGTACCACCGGCTCCTGGTATGATGGCTAACCTTGTCTCCACCAGACCCATCTTCGTGTCGCTAGCAGCAGTGCGGATGTCACAAGCCAGAGCCATTTCCAGACCTCCACCAAGAGCAGCACCATCCACAGCGGCGATTACGGGCATAGGAAGCTGCTCAATGGCAATGAGTAGGCCCCTGAGCTCTTTTACAAATTCTGTGGCTTCCTCGGGACTCATGCCTGGTACATATAATAGGTAAGTTAGCTTTATCACAGGGATTTAAGATATTTAACACGGAACCTTTGCGCTCTTTCAAATCCGCTCCGGCACAAAAGATTCCTGGGCTAAGACTCCTCAATACAACCACTCTCGATCCATTATCCTTCTTGATATCTTCCAGGACATCGTTAAAGGTCTCCACCATTCCCCGGCTAAAGGAATTCTTTGCTGCTGGTCTGTTTAGGCCAATAACTGAGATCCCTTGCCGAGGTCCATCCAAACGCTCCACGAGAACTTCACTTCCATCGCCATAGGGCGCCGCTGCCGCAAAACCGCGTGATGCAACAAGTGGCCGAGTTAACTGTCGAACCAATCTAGACGCTCCATTTAATAACATTGACATTTTATTGATGAAAGCAGAAAAAACAAAGCGAAAAAAGGCAATTGGGTGATTATAAAACGACCGGCAGAAAACAGCTGTTGCGGCCAGTGCTGACAAAAGCTTAAAGCCACTATCGATAACAGTATTATAAGACCAAGGAGGTTAAAAAGCTTGTTTACACTGTTGTCACATTTGGCGCCATAACTTTGAAGAAAATTATTAAATAATAAATAGTAATGCGGCGCTGCATTTGATTAATTTAATATGTGTGAATATTTAGATTTATATTTAAGTTTTATATTTTTGAAGTTCCCAACTTATAGACCTGCAACCTATGCATTTATTTTCGCACTCTACTCTTCTGTATGCTGCACAGTGGGAACATTTGATAAGCTCTGCAAGTGTGACCAAACTGTGTTGGCATGAAAAGAAAACCACAACATCAACGGCCAAAGCACAGGCAAAAAGCGCCAGCCGGTGATGGTTAAATTTTCAGTATAAAAAAATCGCCAATGTATATTTAGAGTACAATTCCAAGTAAGCCCTCGACGCTCCAAGGATTGTGGCCCCATGAACGATTGGGGCATTCCACAGAGCGACTTTTGCTGGATTAAGTGCGACCGCAATTCGTACTCTACCCGTTCTATTTGGCTCGCATGACGTAGTTTTGCGGTAGAGGAGAAACCACGGAGCACCCCCAACAATAGAAGACA